GGAAGGAAGGAAGGAAGGAAGGAAGGAGGAGGACGGAGAACAAATGTCCTGAATTCACACATTTGACATTTATTTGCTGCATTAAAGCTGTGAACAGAGTGATAAAACAGAAAGGTTTTAAATGCGTTTATTTTCTCTGGTAATACATCATTAACCTTTAACACATTATATTTTAGTACGCTTCCTATTTTCAGAGAGGAAAAAAACGTCATTTATTTCTTTTTATCAAAATGAAATTGAGGGCGACCCGGATCTGGATGTGCAGGACGGATCGTGTTTCCGGGACGGATCGTGTTTCCGGGACGGATCGGGGTTTGACACCAACAAGCTAACGGGAGCTAGCCTTCTGCTTCTTCTCTACTCCAGGGGCTTTATGTAGAGCTCCCCCTACAGGTTTGGTGGGAGACAGTTCAGTAGATATCGGCGCGGTGCGGCTTATTTATGAGCGTTTCCATTTTTTCCTCTAAAAATAGTTCAATATCTCATTTGTCCTACATAATGTTTGCATGTGTTAAATGAGCTATTCTTAGAGTGTAGCCATCAGTAACCAAAATGTTTTGCCTGCCTGTAGGTGGACAGTGTGGAGGCGGTGCTGGAACTGAGTGGATTCGTGGACATTCTGCTTCAGGGTCTCATGGAAGCTTCTGGAGAGCTCTGGGAGACTGAGAGAGTCCGTCTGCTGGTGCAGCTGCTGTGTGCATGTCACCAATGCCTGAGGGTGAATGGAGACTGCAGACCGCTCCTCAACCTGATGCAACAACTACTGCCTGCATGCAAGGTCAGCTGCACATCGGCTCATAGTGCAGGAGTTGAAACTCTCTTTAAAACCAGTTAGGAACAGTTTAAAGAAGTACCAGCGAGTAAAGATTGAACGCCACCCCTAAAGCTGTGTGTGTTTTTCCAGGTTTGTCCGGTGGATGAGCTGATGATGGGGGTGGCCCTGCTTCTGCCTGAGGCCCCTGCACTTCAGCAGAGCAGCCTGCTTAGACTTGGTAAAACAAAGTCCTCAACATGCAGAAAGAATTCTGTGAATTATTTGTTTCTTATTTACACGTTTACATTTTGTAAATGGAAATTTGAAAAACCTGCAGTTTAGCAGCAATACTGAAAAATATCATATTCGGGCTGCACAGTGGAACAGTGGTTAGCACTGCTGCCTTCTAAGAAGGTTGCGGGTTCTGTGTTTCCAGGCGATAGACATAGACAGCTGGAGATATGCACCAGCGACCCCTGTGCGTGACAAGCATCAATATCACTCTATTCTTAGCTTTTATTTTGTCAAATAGATTTTTTTTCTCAAATTAAGCTGTATGAATCGGATTCTTTTTAAATTTTGTTTTAAAGATCATATTCTTGTGGGGCCCACAGGTGCAAATATGCAGAAAATGAGCTGTAAACACATGTATGATGTAAACTTCAAAACATGCAAGCATGAAAACCTTGAATATAAAAATAAAGAAAAACGGATGCAGACAGTAAATGCTGCAAGCTAAAAGAAAATGCTGCAATCACAGGAAGGAAGGAAGGAAGGAAGGAAG